AGCTTCGTCCCGGCCTTATAGGGATGCGAGGTCAATGGTCTAACGGATACGGCATGCGTTTGCATGAGTACCCCCCCCACCCCCCACCCCCGGACCTATAGCCTCACATACGTAACCCCACCACCGTATGCTTCCCCCAAAACTTGCGCAGACACCAACCACCTACACCCGCTACTCGGCGCGGGTTCAGCCGGCGAACCTCACCGCCACCGAAGCGACGGAGCTGGTTGAGATTGCGGCGGCTGGGGCGGACGGGTCGGACAACGATCTCCAGAGCTGGCTCTGGGAGAGCGGCGGCAGCTGGACCGAGGTGTCGGTGCCGACCCTTGAGGTGGAGGTGGTGGAGGAGCTCAACGTCCTGACGTCAGATTCCTCTGGTGGGCATTAGAAAAAAAGTGGATAGCGGTCGGTGGTTGGGGGGGTAGGGGGAGATAGGCAGAGAGAGAGTCAGAGACTGAGAGAGACAGAGACAGAGAGAGAGACACACACAGAGAGAGAGAGAGAGAGAGAGAGAGAGAGAGAGAGAGAGAGAGAGAAGGGAGGGCTGCTAGGGGTTCTTGTGCGCTGCATGCAGCGGCAGCGGATTTTTTTTCGTTTATCGCTGTCGTGTTTTTCGTGATTCGAGGGAGACCCAAGTGGTGACAAGAGTCGCTCGCGGCGCAACAGTTTTCGGCGGGGGTGTGGGCGGGGGCGCAGGATTAGAAGGTACAAAACACGAGTGCAGAGAGAAAGACAGCAAACCACCAACACGTCGCCAGGCTTTGTTTTGATTCCTGTTTGTTTTGTGTGGTATGTTTTTCGCGTCTACACAGGAGACGCCAGCGACGCGTCGGAAGGCGCCGAAGAGGGCGGGGACTTGGACGACCCTCTCATCATCGGTGGTATTGCCGCGGGGGCGGTGGTGGTGGTGGGGCTGGTGATGCTGGCGCTCTGCTGCTCGAGAAAAGCTAACAAGAAGTCGTGAGTGTTGGCCGTGGCTGAATGCTGCTGTCGTTGGTGTGGTCGCCATGCTTGGTGTGCATCCACTTGATTCTCGTGCCTTTTTGCTAGAACGAAATTGACAGAGTCAGAGTCCGTATATGTCGATTACCTGGAGGTTGTGGGTGTTATTGCTATTGTCGTCGTTGTGTCGACTTGCTTGGTGTGCATCCACTCTATTCTCGTAACCTTTTGCTGTGCAAAACTGACAAGAGTCCGAGTCCGCAAATGTCGATTCCCTCTCAGCGAAAAGGGAAGCAGGAGGGGTATCGCAGTATGGGCAGTGAGACAAACGTGTGTTGTGCAGCCATGTTCTGATGCGGGGCTGGCTCCGCACTGCTGTTCGTTCGGATCGAAGGAAATATTTCGGTTTTCATTGCACGACTAAAACGTCGCACTATGTATGTCCAAGACGTTCCAGACCCTACAACTACCGTACCGACGAGAAGCTAACCCCCCCCTCGCCCCCCCCCCCCCCTCCCCGCCCGCCCCCTTGGGGTTCCCGGTCTTTTTGCCGTGGTTCCCCGGGCGCCTCGCGTACAAACCGCTTCTACAACGGCGACGGCCAGGGATACCCGAGCTCGGGCAAGGACTCGAAACAACAACAGCAGCAGCGGCAGCAGCAGCGCCGCGGCAACACCGCGGGTGCGGAGGAACTGGTTCTGCGGTACGCAGACGACAACGACAAGGATATTCTTGAGTACAGCGGTGGATCCGTCGGTCGCGGCGTGGGGATGGGGGCGGGGGCGGGGGCTGCGGTGGCGGGCGCTGCTGCAGCGGGTGGCGCTTCCGAGGTGAGAGTCTTCGTTCCTGTCGACCTTGGGGTGGAAGAAGGCGGCGCTGACGCCGATGCCGGTGCTGGTGCCAGCGCTGCTGCTGCTGCTGCTGCTGCTGCTGCTGCCTCGGAGTTCGGGTCGGGCCCTCCGGCCGCCGTCGCCCACCAGCAGCGCCAGCAGCAGCGGCAAGAGAAGCACCGCCAGAGCAGGGGCAAAGACTCTTCTTCTAGCCCTCTCGGCGGCGAGCCCTTCGGCAGACGAGCGCGCTCCAGCGCTGCGGCGGCGGCGGCAGCACGGTCCGGTTCTGGTGGGTCAGGCCCGGTGGGAAGCCAGCGCAGCAACTCGGCGTCGCCGCCGGTCGCTACCGTCGACACCGCGAGCCTCAGCGCCCAGGACTCGAGTGCCGGGGGCTCCGTGACTACGGGGGCAGCGGCAGGGGGGGGCGCCCTCGGTGGGCCTTCTGGTGGTCCGGGGCAGCACCACGGCAGGCGCTCGTCCTCGACGTTCTCGTTCGCCGCCAACAACAGCAGTTTGGCGGTCAGTACAGCTTTGGTCCTGTGTTGTTTGGTTTGTTGTTGCTGTTGTGTTCACCAAACCGCCGTTTTTTTGTTTTTTGTCTGTCCACCTTTGCTGGTGCTTGGCTTTGGCTTGGTGTTGCCTTTGCCTCCGCAGCAGGCTCTCCTGTCTTGTTGGCTGACCCATCGGAGTGCCCACGCTCTTTGTCGTGATTTGTGAGGGGTTTCCCTGCAAGACCGACACACACACACACACACTTCTTATCTTGCGCTCGGCGATAGGTACGATATCTTGCTTCTTCACTCGAGAAACCACCGCACCAAAAACTGCCCTCACCAGAGACGCGAGCTTACCACCAGTTTGCACATACGCCATGCCCCCCCTACCCCGCGCGCGCCTCTTCTCCCGGGTTTCCAGGTGAGAGACGCGGAGAATCTCGAGACCAAGCGCCCCAGCGTCCGCGGTCCGTCCGGGGCCCTGGCCTCCCTGGGCTTCGCCCGCGGCTGCTCGTTGGACGTTTTCGAGGAGGAGAACACCGCCGGCGGTAACCCTTCCGAGCGCGTCGAGGACGGCGGGTCCATGTACGACGGCGGGTCGGAGGCCGGGTCTAGGTACACTCCGTCACGGCCGGCGGCGTCTGGGTCCGCGGTCGGGTCGGCAAGACAGGCGGAGGCGAGAGAGAACGGACGTCTTTTTGTGTTCGATTTCGGGCGATTTTTTTCGTCTCCCTTCGTTGTTTGGTGTATGATAATTGAGGTATCATCAGTAGCTTCTATTGAATCAGAACAAAGGGACACCACGCTGTATGGGTGGCCTCTCCCATCTTGGCAGTTTCGTTTCGAAAATCAGTTGTGTAAGCTGAATCGTGGCGGTGGCCCGCGCATTCACACATGGGTGGTTTTGTTTTTCTTTGCACTAATGGTCTCGATTTTATGAACTACATACAGGTGTTCGGTTCACAGTACTCGACAGCGGGGGCGAGGATTCAGGAGCTCAGAGACCGCCAGAGGGTCAAGGCAACCCCTGTCACGTTCCAGGCTCCCATGTCGATGCCTTCTCCTGGAGGTCCGGTAACCCCAGGTGAGAGCTACAAGTAGGGGCGAGAAACAGGCGCACTTTTAGTGTTGTTGTTATCGTTGCTGTTGTTGTTGTTGTGCTGTTGCTGCTGCTTCTGCTGCTGCTGTGTTTCTGTTGCTGTCCAAGGAAACTACGGATAGTGAGTACCGTACCCCCCCACCCGTCCGAGAGAACAGCAGCATCCAACTAAGCAAGCCACACCCACCATCCACTCTCCCTCTGCTCCTCGTCCTCGTCCTCCTCCTTCTCCGCCTAGGCACGGACTGGGACCTAGCCGAAGGCATCGCGCCGTCCCCGGGCCCCAACGGCCGGCGGCGGGCGCTGATGGTGGGCCGGAAAAACCGGTCGCGGTCGAGATCAAAGGGGCGCCACGGCGGCGGCAGCGGCAGAACCTCCATGGACGGCGGGGAGGGGACGTCGGGGGATCGCTCTTCGTCCAGACCCCCGTCGTCTCGCGGGAGCAGCGTCAGCCGTGGTGCCGCCGGTGTGGGTAGCAGCAGCAGCAGCAGCAGTGCTGGCGGCGGGGTGGGCGGCGGTGACAACAGCAGTAGTCCTGCGAGGAGCAGGGGTTTCCGCGGGAGGGGCACTCCCGGTCGGGCCGGTACCAGGGGGAGCTCGACGACTCCCGGAAGGGGAGGCGGGGGCGGAGAAGACAGCGACTCCAATAGCGTGTTTGTCGAGGACAGCAAGATGATGGCGGGGGCCGGTGGGCAGGAGGAGCGGCGGCGGCGGCGACGGCAGGGTGTCGTTAACCACCCAGCGGAGCCTTGCGACGATAGCGAGGGCGAGAGCAGGTTTAACGACGGCGCTATCACGACCGCAGACAGCGGCGACGACATCTCGCTCTTGCGTTCCTCGTTGACCCTTGTGTAGAAACGGACGCAAGCGCGCGGGGGCGGGGGAGAGGGGGAGGGGGGGGCGTCATCAGCGCCCACAACGCCGTGAGACGGAGCACGAAAAATTACTTGCTTCTTTTGGTGCGGGAAACCAATTCGAAAGGGGCTGGGTTCCGATCTCTTTCACGCCTGCGGTAATGTTGCCGCCTAGACATACTTCCTCCCTCCCTCCAAGCGCAAACGAGCCGTGGACCTTTGTTTCTTGGCGGCCGAGAATTGTTCGGGGTTTCGAACTTATCCACCGGCCGCTTCAAGGAGAGCGTTTGCGCGGCAGTATGCCGTGGCCACCGCCGCCGCCGCCGCGTGTGGCAAGACCGCGCGTGCGTGCGACTTTTCTAGATTTTGGTGTCGCTCTTTTTGGTGTGTGTGTTTTGCGGTCATACAAATGTCGTGGGGACGTGTCTTTCTCGCGTCGGTGGAGTGGGGGCCTTCGCTCCCGTGGAAATAGATTGCTTGACGGTTACAAACTGACGATATGTATGTCGGGTTAGGGTTTGTTTATCCGCGGCAGTGGGAGCCGACATCGTTGAAAGTTGGACCACTACTGCTGTTCGGACGTTGTTGTTCTTGCCCTGCACGAACGGGTGTTGCTGTTCTTGACCGTGCGCTCAAGCAGCAGCCCCCCCCCTTCTTTTTTTTTCACTGGGTTGTTGGGGGGGCACGCGCGCACAACGCGGGGCGGCACTGATTTAGCACCAGCAGGGGCGAATCGATCGAGATGTCCTTCGTCGGGAGGTACATATCGTGCGCAGAGAGAGAGCCCTCCCTTCTCTGTGGTTGGGTTGCCAGCGGTGGTGGGGGTGTTCGGGGGATGCTGTGACACTAGTTGTTGCAAGGGCCGCGGATAGCTACATATTAGCTCCGGCGCGGGTGCTAGGGTTGAGTGACACATACTGTTAAGCCTACATATTGCAGACACCGAAGTTTTACATGGCGGGGGTCCCGTCGTAAGCGTACCGCGTTCAGCACTGACAGGTGGTCCAGCTGAAAAACAGGTTTGTTCGCGCTGATTCGCGGTTCGAATTGTTGTCGGGACATCCGCTCGGAGGATGCGTGCGTACTGGATGTGATTGTTGTTATTGGTGTTATTGCTTTTTTGCCGCTGTTTTTCCGTTCTTTTTCTGTTTCTGCGCCCTTTCGTTGACGTCGAAAGGCTGTGAACGGGAGAGGATGTAGAGATGAAGGGAAATGTGAAGTTGAAAGTTGTTTGTGTTGTGGCGGGGGGGTTTCCCTCTCGGAAAGTCCGTAGTCCGTTAACTCTCCGCCAGAAACAGAAAAAAAAAGAAGCTTGCCACGCGAGTCGTTTCGGCGTGTAAACTTGTTGTGTCTCGTACACAGCCGCGCTTTGAGAGGAAACCAGGCCCGTTGGCTTTGAACAGACGTGTGGGACAGGACGGCTTGGTTTTATGTTTCCACAACGTGTATGTCGATTCCAAATCGGTTAGGTTTGCTGTCCAAGCTCGTGACTCTCGTGATCTGGAACAGCCATTCATCCATTCATTGTGTATATGTTTTCTTGCTGGTTGTCCTCGCTCTCGCGCAAACACAAGAGGTGTGGACGTGGGGTCTCGCCGATGCGGCTCGTTTTTTTGTCCTGTTTGAGCCCCTCCGCGAAAGAGCTCGCTAGTGTCCCTCGGCCGCAGCGAGTTTTTCGATAGATGATGATGATGCACTGCCACACGCAAGCTGGAGGCAGGAGGCGTTGTGGCCTAGGTTGTACAACTGTCTTCTTTTTTGCGTGTTGTCGAGGAGGGAGATTGCCAAGAGCGCGACGATATTCTTGCAGTCTTGAGAAATTATATTTGTTGTTGTTTTTCATGTCGTTGTCGTGTTTCTCGTTGTCTTGTTTGCCGGGTCAACCCACGGTTTTTCCCGCCACGTGCGGGTCGTGCATCGCGTGGTGGATGATCCATCCCGCTTTTCCCGGTGTGGTCGTTCACGCACCTACCTGCGAATGCAAGCCCACGTTCCACAGAAGGTTGTGATTGTAGCGGACACGAGGGTTACGGATAGATTGCAAGCTTAGATTCGAAAGGCCCGTCCCTTCCTTCGTGCGTGCGTGCAAGGCTAGTTGGTGTTTTTTTGGCAGTGAGCGCTTCTTATCCTTGGGAGACAACGGAACGCTGCTTGCGGTTGGTTGGCGTTGGTGTTCGCGCGCGCCGTTAAAGTACAAGACGATGATGCTGATAGCGTTGCGAACCCCCCGCCGCGGAATAGAAAACAAGCGCCGGTCAGTTGGGCGGGGGTCTGATTGGTCCGGGCGTGATTTCTTTGGTTGCCCATACGACGAAGAATGAACTCAACGTAGTGTGCATGTCGGTGTATGGTGCCTTACCACAGGACGTCGTGTGATTGTAGAGTTTGGTACTAGGGCTGGTTTTCGGTCGTGTTTGGTTTTACGATCTGCAGCCGCTTTGACTGCTGTCGGTGTGGGTAGGAAGCCAGATATGAATCATGTCGTGCTGCCAGTCGGCCCTCCTGTCGTCTTCGCTTGCTTACTGCTTGGGGTTGCTGGTGCCGAGTGTTTTTCATCGCCTGATGACGCATTTTTATGCACACAGGGGCATGTTATGTATGTGTGTCTGCTCGCTTCACACTGGAGAGCGGAGGCAGATGCTCTGCTGTCTCCGCGGGTACTGTGCGTAGTAGGCAAGAACATAATCAACATCGCGAGCCACAATGCTCTTGTCTCTTTGCCGGTTATTAAAGGGTACGGAGGGGCACGTGCTGCCCACTTCGGCATGATACGAAACGATTGACCATGCGCTTGAACCCCCCCCCCCCCGCGCGCGCGCGCGCGCTCTAGCTGTAGGCAGTAGGCAAGCGTTTTGTATTTTCCGTAATGTAGCAAGGCTTGGGGGGGATGGAGGGCGGGGATTGCATGTGTGATGCTGTGTGTCGGAGGTGCGGGGCGGGGGGGGGCAAAAACTCGAGCTTTGCACCTTCTTGTGTGAGAGCGTGTGTGCATGGGTTTTATAGAAGTTCGATTTTTATCGTCACACTGCTGCGTGTTTGTTGCCTTAGGCAGTTTTTGGCGAACGTTTCTGTCTCGCCTGCAATAGTTACTACAGCAAGAGGTGGTATTACAGCAGCCAGCCGTTTCATGCATATTGTAACGGCGTTGAGGTTTTTCACATTTATTTTCCAATTTCAAACAATTGCTAGGGTGTGAAAACGGGAGTCGCTATTCGTCCACTTCAGAATTCACCAGTGTTCGTTCACAACAAACAGGGTCGTGGTAGGAAAGGCTAATCATCATGATACAAGAGCGGCCAGATCATGTGGTGGTGTTCACGTTTGCTATGTGGTTGGTTGCTGTACTTTCTACTGCTGTGGATATATTATATATATATCATCTCGAGGGGCTAGCTGATTATCGACTCAAACGTACCGAGAGAACAGGTTTCAAACGTCATGGTCATTATTAATGCGCACATAAATAAAGTGGGCCGTTCTGTTCAATTGATGTATCCAGAGATGTACCGCAGCCATGCTATAGGTGAAGCCTGGCCTGGCCATGTATGGGGGGAATGAACGTAGGTGTGGTGTCTTGTGTGCAGAGACGGCGCTTTGTGCATCCACTGGATACGTTTGTTTGGTGAGAGTACTCAGGTGTGTGTGTTGTGGGTCTTGTCACGAATAAAGCCCCGCGCACAACTGCTGCTGCACATGTATCGTCTTTTTTTTGTTCAAGTGTGCATCATTTGGCCTGTTTTCGTGCTTCGGGATATACATACATACTTCGCTGGCGGAAGTGAGTCTTTTCTCACGCTTGCTTCTCAGGGGCACGCACGGGGATCGTCTGTACACTACTGCACACGCCCGAGGACCGCCAGCCACCCGTGGCGCGTGTGCTTGTTGAAGAATCTGGCTCTATAACCCGGAGACGTTCCGCGCGAGAAATACTTGAAACACAAAAAATGCATGCGCTATAACTTCGTAAACAGGAAGACCTTTGATTCCTGCGCAACGCACACAACGAGTTCCACAGACCATGGACAACACGAATGAATACGTAAGTAAGTGTGAGTGATCAAACGCAGCAGAGTTTTTACAGCAGTAGGAACTGGAGTATTTAGGCTAAACTCACACTCGCACACCACGGCGAGAAAAAAATAAATATCCCGCATATACAACATACCAGGCAGGTTGAGATGCAACGATGCGACCGCGATGACATCGGCCATGTCCTCTTGCGTGGCCCCCGGGAGGCAAGCGACATAACTCCCGGAGCCTTGTATGTATGTTCATATGGCGACCTCAGCACATGTAAAGAGTCACCACCTCACTGAAGAGTTCACCCGAAAAAACCAGGCCATACGGTGACGTAAACAAAAAGTCAGCACCGCATGTTGTAAAATGACGTCAAGTAGAGCCAGGCGCACCCACCCCTAGTTGAGGAGAGCTACTTGCGTGCGCGAAGGCATGTCACGCAAAGGGGCGACCAGAAAAAACCAGCGCGTGCGCCCAGCATGGGCTGCGCATGATTGCAGGCCATGGGAAGCTGTGTGTGTTTTGGTTACTTGCTCGCGACATATATCCGGCGCTTTATATATAGTTCTGGCAAAGAGTGCGAAGCAAAAAAAACACCGCCCAGCGCCCCGACGCTGGATACATACAGACCCACGATCTACCTGCTGCCCGCCGCGTTCACGGACAACTCCAACAGCGGTACAGCAGCAGGAGGAGCACGAGGTAAGCACAAAGCATTTCGGATAGTCATCATGCCTTCTCAGTCGTCATACCGCCACTCCTCGAAGATGTGCGTAAATGCTGTAGACACGGCGTTTTGTGGCGTCGCACACGATTCCTTCATGATGACGAAGCACAAACGAAAAAACGCATCCAACCATGGTCGGTGAAGAGAAGCACCCTCGTCGTAATATCCACGTTGCCCACTGCCCGCTGGAAATGTACCAGACACAATATTAGGGAGTGCCAGTCTCCTTGCCGAACCAGCAGCACCCCGCGTAGCAATAGATACATTCGCAGCCTCTCCACGTCATTCTCGGCTCTCTTCCCGTTCGGCGCGTTTTAGGAAGAGACGGATAGACAGGGAGAGAGATACACTCACTGACGACCGGGTGTCAGCGCGGTCGATGCTAACACTACAAACACACGCACGAACGGGCTGTAGAGGACGCGTGTAGGCCCCACAGCGAGCGTTGTAACATACATCATTCGAATCAGGGTATGCGAAAAAGTTATCCCGCACACCAAGTAATAATAAGTAGTAAGTGCGCACACCAAGACACCAAGTCTGCCTGTAGATTCCCCCGGGATCAATGTTTTATTTTCCCCCATAGATTGCCATATACCCAATAGACCATACATGTTCTCTTGGTTACGTTGACCGCATGCAGTGTACTGCTGAAGTGCACTGAAACCTGTTCGACCTCGTGTGTGTACAGAAAGATAGCGGAGTCAAGTTATGCCTGTGGGTTGTCTGTGCCAAGAACGCGTTGATAAAAACCACACGACGACCATACACACACACCTCATCATCCACAATCTACATCCTCCAATCAATTTTGAGTGAAGAAGCATCACACGCCTCTGCGCGCGTGAACCAAGAACCCTAATGCTGGACGGAAACGAACCCCCGAACATCATCAGTAGGAGTTCGCAATTATGCTGTGTGTTGTTGTGGTATTTGGAGGTAGACATGTGGTCGTGGTTGATCATGGTTATTTGGCGCCGTCGGATGCTATGACGTGACGTCATGCTAGATCGCTAGATCAGGGCTTTATGCGGAGACACGTGCCCTTCTGTTCAGTGTGTGTGTGCGTACAGGCGATCTATGATCGTGTGTGCGCGGGATATTGTGAGTTGGCTTGGAAAGCGTTAATCAAGAGAAAGAGAACAACGGAAAGCAACAACAACCTGCTACTGTGGTCGGACAAGAGAGTTCCACACAGCTCAAAGGTGATTGATTCTGAAGGAAGGGGTCAAATACCATTACAGTGTTCCGTTCCACCTACCGTAACTCTTTACATATAGACTATATGCTACGGCAGCACTCGTACGTATTTTCTCATTAACTTTCAGGGATGATGCAGAAATTGAGCAAGAAGATGTCACGATTCCACCTTCTTCCTCTCCTCCTTCATTTACTTACATAGATAGTCCGATCACTCCATTTTCACACGCGAAAACTGTTCAGAGGGCAAGGGTGCCGGTCTCGGGTAGTACAATCTGTACCTATAAAACAAAACTTTGTAGGCCGTCGTTGTTGTTGTTGTCGTCTCTTTTCAAAAACGCGCTGTTCGATGTTTCAGCCTCCGGCTCTTTCGCGAGGAGGGAGACCAAGGCACACAAGGTGCTGCGCGCCGTGTCTCGTGCCAAGGGCGCAGCGCGGCTGCGACGGTGGCGCAGTGTGCGTGAGGAGGTGGCGGCGCAACCGGCTGCGGTACACAAAGAATAGGTCAAATCGTTTTTTTTGGGGGCTACTGCTGTGTGCAGCTGCTGTGGTCTGTCTGTTATAGAAACCTCACGGATACCAATCAACCCGGTGTTTTTTCCTTTCGTCGGTCGGTCGGTCAGTCGCCGGTCGGTGGGGTTGGGGTATGGTGGGGTATGGTGGGGTAGGGTGGGTTTGGTCGGTTGGTTGGTCGGGTTGTGTTTTGGGGCGGGTTGGGGTGGGTTGGAGGTAGAGGGTGGGTTTGGTTCGTCGGTCGGACGGTCGGTCGGGTTGGCGTTGGATTGTGGTTTGGGTTGGAT